AATGAAGGAAAGAGTTTTTTCAATAAATGAAGCTGGAACAACTGTATAGTCACATACAAAACAATGATTTTGGACCCCTACCTCATGCCAGATACAAAAATTAATTAACAGCGCTGTAAAAATCTTAGAAGAAACACAGGAATAAATCTTGCATTAGGCAATGGATTCCTAGTTATTACACCAAAAACACAGGCAACATAAGAAAAAAATAGATACACTGAACTCCATAAAAATTAAAAACTTTTGTGCTTCAAAGGATACTATGAAGAAAGTAAAAAGACAATCCATGGAATGGGAGAACATTTTTGCAAATCATTTATCTAAGGCGCTTGTATACAGAATTTATAAAGAACTCCTATGCTCCACAAGAGAAAAGCAAATAACCCAATGTTTTAAATGGGCAAAGAATCTGAACAGACATTTGTCCAAAGAAGAGATACAAATGGCCAAAAAGCACATGAAAAGATGCTCAACATCATTAGCCATCAGGGAAATGTCAAAACCACAATGAGATGCTACCTCACATCTACTGCAAGGGCTAAAACAACAATAACAGAAAACAAACCGACAGAAAAAGAAGTGTGAGGATGTGGAGAAATGGGAATCCTCAAACGTTGGCTGGTGGAAATGTAACACAGGGCAGCTGCTTTGGAAAACAGTTTGGCGGTTCGTCAAAAGGTTAAAAATGCAGTTACCATATGATCTGGCAATTCCATTCTTAGCTATAAACCCGAGGGAGCTGAAAACATGTTCACACAAACACTCGTACGTGAATGTTCATAGCAGCATTACCGATCATAGCCAAAAAAGTGTAAACACAAAAGTTCATTAACTAATGAATGAATAAGCACCATGTGGCATATCCATAAAATGAATATTATTCAGGCATTACAAGAAATGCTACAATATGGATGACCTTAGCAAACCTTACACAAAGGGAAAGAAGCTGGACACAAAAGGTGACACATTGTAGGATTCCATTTATATAAAGTGTCAAGAATAATCAGATCCATAAAGTAGATCAGTGGTTGCTGAGGACTGGTAGGAGGGGAGATGGGGAGTGTTATGGGACTTCTTTTTGGGGTGATAAGAATATCCAAACAAAGATTGTGGGGATGGTTACATAACTGAATATACGAAAAAAAAAAACCATTGAATTACCACTTTAAAAAGACTTTGTAGCATGTGAATTAAATCTCAGTAAAGTCGTTACATTAAAAGAAAAAGCTAAAGTAAAAACAATATCTTTCAAGAATTGCATTGCAATCACATTAGACCACGTGATGAAATCCTCAAAAGCGTGGGCCAGGTGGTAAATCCTGGCCAAGGCTCCTCGGGCCGGGCCGGCTGGGAGGGCTGCATCGCGCTGAAGGCGCTGAGGTTGCAGCGGATGCATTCCGGGCCAGTGATATGATGTGGACAGGAAAAGCCTTTTGCTCTGGGAAAAATGGAGGATTGAAACCTCTTCATGTCTTTTTCCTAGGTCCTGATTTGGGAAGACCAAAACAGGGACTTCTACAGTAGCGACTTAATCAGCAGATGCTGGGTGGTCGCCTCCGCACATGGCCTGGTGGGCGGGACGCCTTGCCTTGTCACGCGGGGTGGATGGGCCTGTGCCTGGCCTCTCTCCAGCTGTGGCTGACAGTACTCATTCAGCCCAGGCTTCCAGGCCCTCCTGGGCCCTCCTATCCATTGAAGGAAATGGGAGATGACTGGGCAATGGAAAAGCCTTTGGAGTCAGAGGTAAATCCGTGACTTGACTTATTGCTGTGAGACCCTGGACAGCCGGATATAGAGCTCTTGTTCTAGCACTGGACCTGGGAATCCCCAGAACCGGGCCCCTTACCTCTAATCCACAAACCTATGAGGTAGGAGTGGCTTTCTTTCCCAGACCCGCCCTCTCCCTGCGTCCTAGAGCCACCGGGCAAACTCGGTGACCGCTGCCATCCAGGCGGTCTCAACTCGGTTTTGTTGTTTTGACAGTTGTCATTTTTGCCGTGACCCTTGTAATGTAATAGGTTTGTTTTCTTTTTTCCCTTTTTCTTTTTTTCCCCCCTATTTTTTTCTCTCCTTCTCTGTCTCCTGCCTTCCTTTCACCCTCCAAAAGAAGTCTAACTATTAGAGTTGGCAGCAAAATTTAAAGAAAGTGGTTTAAAACTCAGAGAGCCAGGGCTGGGCGTCGTGGCTCACGCCTGTAATTCCAGCAGTTTGGGAGGCTGAGGCGGGTGGATCACCTGAGGTCAGGAGTTCAAGAGCAGCCTGGTCAACACTGAAACTCTGTCTCTACTAAAAATACAAAAATTAGCCGGGTGTGGTGGCGCGTGCCTGTAATCCCAGCTACTCAGGAGGCTGAGGCAGGAGAGTCGCTTGAACCCGGGAGGTGGAGGTTACAGTGAGTGGAGGTCAGGCCATTACACTCCAGCCTGGGCGACAGAGAGATAGTCTCAAAAAAATGAAAACAAAACAGAACAAGTCAGAGAGTCAGAAAATAGGAATTTTAGAGTAAGGAGCTGGGGCAATTACATGCTCTGGTAGCGTTTGAGAATCTGGGGGCCCCAAAGCTTCCCCCCGGGCATTTCTTGGGTACTGTGTGCCTCTCTGTGGGGGCGATGCTTCAAAGCCCCCAGCTCAGGAGATCTTTGTCGGCAGCGTGGTGAGTAGGACGAGAGAGGCGCACAGCAGTGTGCGTGCCAGGCCCCATATGCTTTTAAAAAGGGACTTTCTGCAGCTAGGGACACTCCGATAAGAGAGTGGAAACTTGTTTCCTCCCTGTGGTAGGGAGATTTTTCTTACCCTTTTGAACTGTTTCTTTTTTTAACCATGAGGAGGTTACTTTCCATCTAAAAAGTAATAATGTAAAAACCACACGGGGGTGAATGGTCTAGAGCGGAGAAGTGCCTGCCTCCGGAGGCTGCAAGCTCGGGCCGCAGCAGAGCTGCTGCCCACTCTGCGGGAGGCCTCTTCTGGATGCGTCTTCATGGGTTACAAGAAGCACATTACTTTGACCCCAAAGGTAATTATCTTGACTCACTAACTACCTGAATCAGCATATCTGGCTTGGAATCACACAGCTATGACTCCAAACCTGCTCTTTCTTAAAACAGCAAAGGTGTTTGGTTGGTTGTTTTACCATTTACGGACATTCAAAGGACTCTTAAGGCAACGTTAAGACTTGTTAACTGGCTGGGTGTGGTGGCTCATGCCTGTAATCACAGCACTTTGGGAGGCCAAGGCTGGAGGAGCGTTGCTTGAGCCCAGAAGTTGGTGACCAACCTGGGCCATCATAGTGAGACTACCTTTGTCTCTACTGAAAAAAAAAGAAAAGAGGCCGGGCGCGGTGGCTCACGCCTGTAATCCCAGCACTTTGGGAGGCTGAGGCAGGCAGATCACAAGGTCAGGAGATCGAGACCATCCTGGCTAACACGGAGAAACCCCGTCTCTAGTAAAAATACAAAAAATTAGCTGGGCGCGGTGGCGGCACCTGTAGTCCCAGCTACTCGGGAGGCTGAGGCAGGAGAATGGCGTGAACCCGGGAGGCAGAGCTTGCAGTGAGCTGAGATCCGGCCACTGCACTCCAGCCTGGGCAACAGAGCCAGACTCCGTCTCAAAAAAAAAAAAAAAAAAAGAAAAGAAGAAAAAGAAAAGAAAAAAAAAATTAGCCAGGCGTGGTGGCGCACATCTGTAGTCCAAGCTACTCAGGATGGTGAGTTGGGAACTTAAGCCCAGGAGTTCAAGGCTGCAGTGAGCTATGACTGTGCCACCGCACTCCAGCCTGGGCAACAGAGTGAGGCCCTGTCTAAAAGAAAAAAAAAAAAAAAGACTTGCTGATATGGTTTGACTGTGTCCCCAACCAAATCTCATCTTGAGTTGTATCTCCCACAACTCCCACGTGTCATGGGAGGAGCCCGGTGGGAGGTGACGGAATTGTGGGGGTGGGTCTTTCCTGCACTGTTCTCACGGTAGTGAATGAGTCTCGTGAGATCTGATGGTTTTAAAAACGGGAGTTTTCCTGCGCAAGCTCTCTCTTTGCCTGCTGCCATTCATGTAAGAAGTGACTCGCCCCTCTCGCCTTCTGCCATGGTTGTGAGGCCTCCCCAGCGATGTGGAACTGGAAGTCTTTAAACCTTTTTCCTGTATAAATTAACCAGTCTCGGGTACGTCTTTCTCAGCAGTATGAAAATGGACTAATCCACTTGTTACACATTTTGAGCCATGGAAAGTGCTCAATTTGGAGTACTTGAAAATTGCCACCCTTGGAGTACTTGAAAATTTTTGTATTTTTAGTAGAGACAGAGTTTCAGTGTTGACCAGGCTGCTCTTGAACTCCTGACCTCAGGTGATCCACCTGCCTCAGCCTCCCAAACTGCTGGAATTACAGGCGTGAGCCACGACGCCCAGCCCTGGCTCTCTGAGTTTTAAACCACTTTCTTTAAATTTTGCTGCCAACTCTAATAGTTAGACTTCTTTTGGAGGGTGAAAGGAAGGCAGGAGACAGAGAAGGAGAGAAAAAAAATAGGGGGGAAAAAAAGAAAAAAGGAAAAAAGAAAAACTATTACATTACAAGGGTAATGTATACCACAATATTTGAATGTTTTCCGTATGCCAAACAGTAGCCACACATAGTGTCTTATTTCCTTCTAACAACACCTCTATAAGGTAAGCGCTATTATTACTCCCACAGAGACCAATGAGGGAAGTGACTTATTCAAAGTCAAAGAGTTGGGAAACTATTGGAGCCAGGATCTGAGGCGAGGTCTGGTCAAACTCCAGAGCCCGAGCACATAATCCTTATACTACTGTGAACTGTGGGCAAGGAAATACGAGTTCACACATCACCAAATCCAGGGCCAAATTAAGCAGATCAAAAACATAACAGTCACTTGGAGGATAACCACAATGAGGTAGCCCTATCTATTAGGCACCTACTAGATGCTGGGCATCCTGCTGGGCACATCCATCCCCATGGCCTCTCTGTGCACTGACATCTGACGTCTTTCTCAGAGAGGAGGAAACTGAAGCTCACGGGGTGGGGGTGAAGTGACTTTTGCCCTAGACCAGATAGCCCATAGGCGCAGAAAGGAGATAAGACTCAGGGTCACATGACCTCAAAGCACCCTCTCTTGCCACTTCTATTCTTGCTCCTGTTCTCCACTCTAAGTGATCGGGATGGACCCCTGCATGAGCAGATAAAGAGACCACCCTGAAGAGTGTTCATTCCTTCCCCACTGCAATACTGCCACGGCCCTGCTTGGCCCGAGATGGGGTGTGGTTTGGGGCAAACGTGTTCTTCCCCACCCTTCCCAAACCAGAAGCGGGGACCATACTGACATAGAAGGGGAGGATGAGGACAGTGAGTCGCTGGGGCTCTTTCTCTTACCTCTGCCCTGTTTCCTGGTTCCTCCAGGAACCCCACTGACGGCAAGCTTTGTGCTGGCTTCCATTGCGAAGTGGAGGCTCCTGGCTGGGTGTCGCCTGGACACTTTGTTCCTGGTGGGCACTGTGCACTCAGAAGAAGGCTGGGCCAAAATGGGTCTGCACTCAAGTTTCCAGTGGTATTTCATCAATAAGGAAGATCACTGAGGCTGTGACTCCAGACAGCGTTGCGAAAACAACTAGGAAATGAAAAAAGTAGCTGGATCAAAGGTTACAAAGGGTTGGCTACATTGGCTCACATTTGTAATCCCAGCACTTTGGGAGGCTGAAGTGGAGGATCACTTGAGGCCAGGAGTTTGAGACTAGCCTGGGCAACACAGCAAGATTCCATCTCTCCAAAAAAAAAAAAAAAAAAAGAAAAAGAAAAATTAACAAAATTATATTTTAAAAAATGCAATCAAGGTATTGACTGGGGGGAAAGAAAGAAAGAAAGAAAGAGAAGGAAGGAAAGGAAGAAAGGAAGGAAGGAGGGAGGGAGGGAGGGAAAAAGAAAGAAAGAAAGAAAAAGGGTTACAGAGAACCCTGCTTGCCTGAAGGAGCTTCACACACTGCCATTTTACCTACACACTGATAGAAGAAAATGCTTCAAGGAGACCTCAGTTGCCCAGATAGCTTCCTTTAATTAAGAAATTTCAAAAAATTCCCTGAATGGTCTAGGTAATACATTTGTCCAATTATGACCACAAGGCGTCTGAAGCAATGGAGTTCTGGTCCAGAGCTGTCAGTGCCAAGGAGATTCCCAGTGTCCACAGCTACTGCTCCCAAGCTCACTGCTGGTCTTTCTCTGGACTCTCTTCCTGGGCAATAACTTGAAAGAAGTTGAAGTTTGTTATCTCCGTGACTCTACCTGGAGCTCCATCCTTACACATCCCAATCAGTATGGGGCATCTCCCTGGCTCAGTGAGCCACAGGGGCTCCAAACCTTCCTGACGTTTCATCTCCCACTCCCATGGAACGTTCTCATACACGGTGTTCTGTTATGGGCACTGTTCCTCCACCACTCACCCAGGCCTAGCCTCCTGCCTCTCTAACAGCCAATGGCAGTCAAGTCCTAGCAGTCCTGTCTCTGAAGGTCCTCCCTATCCGTCATCTCCCCTTCATTTTCCCAGTTACTCCAGTTACTGTCCTACTCAAGGACCCCCCTCCCATCTGGGCTACTACAACCACATGGCCCATCCCTTGCGCTTCAATCATAGAATTCTTTCTTCAGATCAAAGCATATTCAGACGCCCGATAATGGTAACAAAAGCAAGCTATCCTGGAAGGAGGAAGGAATCAGGAGGCAGAGGGATGAAATACCTATAGCCTAAATCTCACCTTCTGAGTGAGGTGGACTCCCGCCTCATCTCTTCCCTGGAATTCCTGCGGTTCCCTAAATACACACCATGAAGTTTCCATTTTTGAGATGGATTATTTCTTCTGCTCTGATTTCCTTTGTTGTCTGCCCAGCACATGGTTAAAGCATGAGATGTGAAACGAGGAAGAACCAGGTCTGAATCTTAGCTCCACCAGTGGGAGCTCCAAACCTCAGTCCTTTCTGAGCCTGCTTCTTCAACCCTAAGGTAAAAGTAGTATCAGTACTTATGTTATACACCTGTTCATGGCGTTAAATAAGGCTATATTTAAGTTGCTTAGCAGAGAGATGGTAAGCACTCAATAAATGTTCAGACATCATAATTTTCCTCACCCTTCATGAGTCAACTCGACAGCACCTCCTCCACGAAGCTTTCCCCGATCTCCTCCAGCTGTGTCCCCAGTGAAATCTACCACACTGCATTTATAGTTAGGCACCATTCTGCCTCCCTCCTCACACTGTGACCTTCTTAAGGGCAGAGGCTATCTTGTTCATCTTCGGTTCTCTGCTATTCAGTAGCATCCATCACTTAGCAGAGCTCAGTGTTCACTGAATTAATGAACAAAAAAGGGAGGAAGTATGATCATTCATTAATGAAATGCACTGAACGTGTGCTGTGTGACAGACAATATTCTGGCTGCTGGGGCTACATCTGTGAATAAACAGAGGGAGTTCTTGCCCTCATGGAGCTCCCATTCTAATGAGGAGGATACACTCAATAAACAGCTACATGGATAGTATACTAGATAATGCAAAGTGCTTTGGGAAAAAATAAACCAGATTAGGGGTAACAAGGCAAGAAGCAGTTGCTGCTTTTTTTTTTTTTTTTTTTTGAGATGGAGTCTGACTCTGTCACCCAGGCTGGAGTGCGATGGTGCAATCTCAGCTCACTCCAACCTTTGCCTCTCAGGTTCGAGTGATTCTCTGGCCTCAGCCTCCAAGTAGCTGGGATTGCAGGCGCCCGCCACCATACCCGGCTAATTTTTTTGGTATTTTTAGTAGAGATGGGGTTTTGCCATGTTGGCCAGGCTGGTCTCAAACTCCTGACCTCAGGTGATCCACCTTCCTTGGCCTCCCAAAGTGCTGGGGTTACAGGCGTGAGCCACCGCGCCTGACCTTGTTGCTGTTTATATTAGGTCAGGGAAGGCCTCACAGAAAAGGTGACGTCTGAACAGAGAGCTGAAGAAAGTGGGGGAGAAGGCGCATGGACATTAGAGGGTGGGAAGATAGGGAAGAGCACAACCCAGATCAAGGGAGAAGCCAAGTGTAGAGGCCCTGAGGGGACAGCGTGCTGCATGGGAGGCCGGCCAGCCAGCGGGGGCCCTGGCTGGTGTGCTAGGAGAATGAGGTTGGAGAGGCAGTGGGGTGGGGTCCTGTGGGGTGCAGACCGTGGGTCATGTGGGGCTCCACCATTCCTTCTTGAAGATGCGCATGATTACTGCTTGATTACTTTCTTGGGCATCTTGAAAATCCTGTCCTCCTACCTATGTCAAAATGCAGCAGAAAGGAAAAGCCCTAGTCTTACCAGTCTTAACGAGTACAAATGAAGTTGTTGTACATTAATATCTAAATCTCAATGGTTTGAGTTCTCACCTGTGCAAAGGTAGAAAGCCCCAGTTCCAGGAAAATCCTTTTCCCCCTAGTATTTCTAGGAATCCTGGGGGTGTGTGCATGGTTGTATGATCCTACACCAGTTGCCGGGGCTGGTCAAGTCATGCCTTGGCAGCTTCAGGCTCCAGTGGTCCCACAGGCACACCACAGCAGGGCGCTCCACTCACCTAACCAGCCCCTAGGTCATCCAGAGGATTTATCATTATTCTGAGACTCCATGGGGCCTTGCCTGTGGATCTAGAAGGGTACCACTGTGCCTCAATACAAGACACTACTCTTGGGAGGTGAGAACATGCTCTCCGGGTTCAGATGAGAGGGGCTGTTCCACAGCAACATTTTTTGAACTCCAGTGTTACAGTGTCTATGGACACAGCTTTTAGTTCTTACCTATAGCCCTTCTCTTCCCAGGGAGCCAACTTACCTTCAAGTTGGCTGGTTCAGGACATACCTGGACAGCAGCTTGTCTCCAGCCTTCTATCTTCTTGGGAAGCTGGGCTTGCTGTCAGACTGGTCCTTCTCTTATGGTAGATTTTCTCTTGAGGCTCCCATAGTCTCTGCAAGTGGGCCTCTGCCTGGGCCACTCCAGCACATCAGGCCTGTCAGTAATCAAAGCCAAGAGTGACAAAGTTCCCGACTTTCTCCCAGGATCCCCAGCGCCAATAAAAATCAGCAAATGCGATGTCTGAGGAGGATTATTGCCTCACTATGTACCAGTACTGCTGAATCCCATCTCCCACTCAGCTGGGACCCGCTGCAGTTCTTCCACAGGATATGAGCTTTATCAACATCCCACGGTTTTTCATTCCTTCTTCGAGGTGTGATTACATTGAGCAGTAACAGCAAAACCTGAAAGAGAATGGATACAGGTGTTCATTTCAGATGGTACAAGTTTAACAAGTCCAACTTAAGGTTCAACACAAAACTTTTAAGAATATATTTAAATCTTAGTACTTCGTCCAGAAAACACCACAGCATAACTGAGAGCATTGGAGGCAGAAATAATTTAGTTTAGATCCATGAATTGCTTGCTATTTACTGTGTGACTCTGGGTAGCCATTGACTTTAAACCTATTTTTCCCACTTATAAAAAGGTAATGATGACCACTTGTTGGAAAACTTGAGGGTAATAGTTGTAAAGGTCAGAGTAAGACCCAGCACCTGGGACCCCACACCTGGGAGGCACAAAGTCAGTTCTGCTTCCTTTCCCTTTCTGTAGAGAAATGCACAGGATATTCCTTATATGCCACTTATGCTATGGGATTGACATAGGTTTGGTCCCTTATGCTATTGATTAGGTTTTGCTCTAAAAAGCTTTAAAAAAGAAAATTCATTACTATAAGATAAATTCGATTCCAAATTAATCTTGTAGTAACTCTAAGGTATGATTATGCTGCAATTCTAGTGTAGTTGGTTCTTATTTCATATTGAACATCATTATAGTCTCAATAAACCCTTAGCAGGCTTTAACTATCTCATAGCTTTCTCTCTGATTTCCTCAATAAAAACAAAATAGCAATAATTAGGAAAAATCAGAAAATGAAAGCCAAGGAATGAAAAATCTGAATAAAAGCTATTGCATACTCCACATAGAAAAGATCTAGCTGAGGCCGGGCACGGCGGCTCACGCCTGTAATCCCAGCACTTTGGGAGGCCAAGGCAGGCGGATCACCTGAGCTCAGGAGTTTGAGACCAGCCTGACCAATACGGAGAAACCCCGTCTCTACTAAAAATACAAAATTAGCTGGGCGTGGTGGCGCATGCCTGTAATGCCAGCTACTAGGGAGGCTGAGGCAGGAGAATTGCTTGAACCCAGGAGGCGGAGGTTGTGGTGAGCCGAGATCGCGCCATTGCACTCCAGCCTGGGCAACAAGAGTGAAACTCCATCTCAAAAAAAAAAAGAAAAGATCTGGCTGCTACAGTGGTCAGGAAGGCACACGGGATCTGGAATCAGGAGACCTGAGCTTGAATTCTGGCTCAGCCACTCAGTAGATGGGAGGCACGTTGGTCTCTCTGGGCCATTTTCCTCATCTAAGATGCAAGTATCTCACAGAATTATAATTGATGTTAAATGACAAGTGCTATATGTTAGTTCAGTTCAATAAGCCGAATAGAGACAATCAGACAGACCTGGTCCCTGCCCCTAGGAGCTCACAGTCTCTTTGACCTGGGCCCTACTTTTTCCCTGATCTGGTTTTTAGTAGAGGCCAGCTTGGAATTCCTACTCATGACTACATTGATTGACTTCCAGGAGAGAGCCCTTTGAAACACCAGTGCTCACTGACCTAACCTTCTCTGCTGGTCTTACATAGAACTGGTCTGGGGAACTCACTCTATTTCCATGCTATCTCTAGCCAAAATACTTAACTTCTTGCACAAACATCATAAAATAAAGAATTACAAATAAATCACTCCCCCTGCAAACTCAAAGACCAGGCTCATCCCCTCTCCTGACTGTGGCAATATCATCCGTTGCCCGAAAGAAATCCTCTCATACTGGAGACCAAACTCCAGGTCCCTTTATTGCCAATCCTGTGCCTTTACATGCCATCATAATAACATTTACAAAGTGTTTTCCCTAAAGCCTCGCCCACTGCTACCCAGTCAAGTAGAACCAAAGGATATCTAGCTGTCTGTCCTTGGGACTGACACGTCCTGAGTCCCTCCTCTCGCATTTTTAAGCAGTTATGCCACAGAAAGAACCTTTGGGCCCAGGACCCTGGGTTTTGTAAGAATCAGTCTTCGGGAGAACAGACCCAAACCCTCTTCTTCTAACGTGAGTGGTGTTTTTACTAGTTGCTTCTTCAAACTTTGTAATTCGAGTCCTTCTTTAAGGTAACAAAAATGCTTTTAAAGTCTTCTGCTGAATCTCGTACCAAACAATAACCTTCAAGTTTTGGTGAAACCATGACTTTTATGTGTCGAGCTTGCTTAAAACAAGGCACACAGGTAATCCTGCGACGTACTCCCCTTTCTTCAAAAACTGATGGACGAGCTTTGCGCAGTGGCAGTATCATAGACAATGAGGTTTACTCGAGGAGTGATTATTGCTAACTGAAAAACTGATGAACATAGGAAGTGCATGTCTGTAGCTTAATAGTACAGTCAGCCAACTTGAGACCTAGGCTCAGGTATTTTTGCAACATTTCTAGCACATGATAGCACTGGGTAATCCTACCTCTTAGAACTTATCAAACATCTCTCTAATCGTTTAATATACAAGTAATAGACATCTACATCACTCGAAACTACACTCTACCTGCTTCAGGAGGAATCGTACGTCAGAGGACTTCTGCTGCTGCGATAGGGGAAGGTCACAGAGACAGTATGGAGTTTGAGTCAGTAATTTCTGCCTGTCTGAGAGGAACAGTACACAGGCAGATGGGGAAGAGTTGGTTTATAGACAGTGGTTACCAATGCCTTCCAAAAATCTACAGTACTTTACTAGTAGTCTCTCTCTACCCCACCAGGACAATCTCCGCAGAAACTCTGCAGTTAGAAGGCAACAGGATGATATATTTAAAGTGATGAAAGAAAAACCTGTAAACCGATTGTTTTTCTTTCTTTTTTCTTTTTTTTTTTTTGAGACAGGGTCTCACTCTGTCACCCAGGCTAGAGTACAGTGGTGTGATTTCAGCCCACTGCAGCTTCAACCTTCTGTAGTCAAGGGATCCTCCCACCTCAGTCTCCTGAGCAGCTGAGACTACAGGCATGAGCCACCACATCCAGCTAATTTTTCTATTGTTTTGTAAAGATGGAGTTTTGCCATGTTGCCCAGGCTGGTCTCGAACTCCTAAGCTCAAGCGATCAGCTTGTCTCAGGCTCCCAGAGTGCTGGGATTATAGGTGTGAGCCACCGCGCCCAGCCAAGAATTCTGTATCTGGTAAAACTATCCTTCAAAATCAAGGGAGAAACTAAGATATCCCTAAATAAACAAAAGCTGAAGGAATTACCACTAGACCTACCCTGCAAGAAATGTTAAAGGGAGTCCTTCCCTCAGGTTGTAAGGAAACAACACTAGACAGTAACTCAACGACTGTATAAAAATATACATTTTTCCTTTCAAGGTAAACACATAGACAAATATAAAAACCAGTATTATTGCAATTTTGGTTTGTAACTCCCCTAATTATTTTACAGGACCTAAAATAGAAAAGCATAAAAAACTATAAATCTTTGCTAGTGGGTACACAATATATAAAGGCGTAATTTGTGACAGCAATAACATAAAGTAGAGATGGAGCTGTAAAGGACGTCTTTCATATGCAATTAAAGTTAGCAGTTTAAAACAGGTTGTTATAACATTAGGATGTTTTATGTAAGTCTCATGGTAACACAAAGGAAATAGCTACAGAATATACACAAAAGGAATTGAGAAGGGAACTAAACATGCCACTATAAAAAATCAACTGAACTCGCTGGGCGCAGTGGTTCACACCTGTAATCCCAGCACTTCGGGAGGTTGAGGCGGGCGATCACAAGGTCAGGAGTTCGAGACCAGCCTGGCCAATATGGTGAAACAAAAATTAGCCAGGCGGGCGTGGTGGTGCGTGCCTGTAGTCCCAGCTACTCAGGAGGCTAAGGCAGAGGAATTGCTTGAACCTGGGAGGCAGAGGTTGCAGTGAGCCAAGATTGCACCACTGCACTCCAGTCTGGGTGACACAGTGAGACTCCATCTCAAAAAAAAAAAAGAAAAAGAAAAAAGAAAAAATCAACTGAACTCAAAGAGACAGTAAGGGAGTAAATGAGGGACAAAAAAGAGCCTATAAGAGATACAGAAAACAACAAAATGGCCAATAGTAAGTCCTTCCCCATCAGTAATTACTTTAAATGTAAATTAACTCCCAAATCAAGACAGACTGACAGAATGAATTTAAAAAAAAAAGAATCCATCTATACACTGTCTACAAGAGACTCACTTTAGATCTAAGCGCGCACAGGTTGACAAAGAAAGGACAGAAAAAGATATTCCATGCAAATAGTGATGAAGAGAGTAGGGGTGGCTATACTAATATCAGATAAAATAGACTTTAAGTCAAAAACCAGTACAAAAGACAAAGAACATTATATATTTTAAAAAGGGTCAATTCACCAATTAGATATAACAATTACATATATTTATATACGCACACACACATATACACATACACACACACACACACCCCCCAAACATAACAGCTCCTAACTATATGAACAAACACTGACAGAACTGAAGGGAGAAATAGATGACTCTGTAATAGTAGGCTTCAACATCCCACTTTCAATAACTGATAGAAAAGCAAGAGACAAGATCAAAAAAGAAACAGAGGCTGGGCGCTGTGGCTCACCCTTGTAATCTCAGCACTGTGGGAGGCTGAGACGGGTGGATTGCTTGAGCCTAGGAGTTCAAGACCAGCCTGGGCGACATGGTAAAACCACCCCCATCTCTACTAAAAATACAAAAAATTAGGCAGGCACAGTGGCGCACGCCTATAGTCCCAGCTACTTGAAAGGCTAAGGCAGGAGAATCACTTGAGCCTGGGAGGCGGAGGTTGCAGTGGGCCAAGATCGCACCACTTCACTCCACCCTGGGTGACAGAAGTGAAACCGTCTCAAAAAGAGGACTTGAACAACGTGATAGGCCATTTGGACCTAACAGATATACAAAAAGCATACCACCCAACAATAAGCAGAATACACATATTCCTCAAGAGTATATGGAACATTCTCTGGGACAGGCTATTAGGCCACAAGTAAGTCTTAAAACATTTGAAAAGACTGAAATTATATAAAGTATCTTTCTAATCACAACGGAATAAAATTAGAAATCCATAGCAGAAAGAAAACCATAAAATCTACAAATACGTGGA